TTTCTTCAACATTCAGGCTAACATTCCGTCATAGTGGCACCTTTACCATTATATGATTAGATAATCTTGTTTCATTTCACAATACCAAGTCTACTTTCTGGACAGCTCCAGAACTCGCTGTTCTGAGAACTATCCCAAAAACCTTCCATAAACGCTTCATTTAGGTTACCTTTACCCAGCTGTTTTTTCCAGTTTATATGGAGATTGAAAACCCCCATGATTATTGAGGTATCTTTCTGACAATCTCCTATTATTTCTTCCTCTATACTTGATCTTACTATGTGGTTACTGTAGGGGACCTGTACAGCACTCTCACAAGTTTTCTTGCCTTTATCATTTCTCATCTCTTACCAAACTGCTCCACAATTTAGTTTCCTGAACCTGGGTCACTCCTCTTTATTGTGCTCCCTTCTTCATTTTGCTAATACCAAAACTGATTAACAGAGACAGCCATTTTCCTAGCTTTCTATCCTTCTTAAATGTCCTGACTCCTTAATATTCAGGCCCAACCTATGTCATTCTGCCACCATTTTTTTGTAATGATTATCAGATTGCATTTACTTATATCTATTTGCACAATTTGTTTTTTTATACTATTATATGTATTCAGAGCCTTCAGTTTTGTCTTTTTATTATTTTTTTTTAAGCTCTAACCTGATCTGTTGATACACTCTTAGATTTTTCCTCTCTATCTCTTCTGTCAATGCCCTTTGATCATTTCCCATATTCCTTTCTTGGCTTCTTTCTACTCTTTGACTTACCATATCTTCCAAAATTTGATATGTTGGCTAGAGTATTTAGTTTAAAACCCTCTTTACCTCCATAGTAATGTGACTGACTAGAACCTAATGCCAGCACACTTTCGGTGTAAATCATCTCAATGGTACAGCTCCCACTTTCCCTAATACTGGTCCCAGTGCCCCAAAAACCAGAAACCATTTCTCTCACACCAGTCTTTGAGTCATGCACTCTATTTTCTGATGTATTTGCCCTTTTCCAATTTGCATGAAACCGAGATCACGATTCAAAGATTATTACCTTTGAGGTTCTGCTTCTCAATCTGTGCCTAGCTTCTCATACTGACTATGTAGTGTCCCATTCTCTGTCTTGCCTATATTGTTATTACCTACATGGACCCCTAGTCCTGGATCCTTCAGCACTCAATGACCTGACAGATGTCTCAAAACCTGGCACTGGAGAAGAATCACAGCTTTCTGAACGCATTCTTTGCTCCAATGCACGGTGTCAATTCCCCTCATTATATTGTTCCCTACTGCCAGCATTTCTCTTTGCTCCCCCATTCAAATAGCTTTTTGTACTATTGTTCCATGGTTAGTTCTCTCAATGAGTAGGAAGAACCTCAAAACAATTGCCAAGGATAAAGCTCCTGCTTTCCTGCTCTCTGAGTCACCTTACTTGCTTTACTCACTGATCCTCCTTTCCCTGACCACTGACCAAATCAGAATGATCTATCCATCATGACTAGCTCCTGCTGGAAAATATCAAGGTAACTTATAACTTTCACATGTGCCACAATATCTATGGTTTAGCTTCCAGCTCATAAACTTTGAGCCCAAGCTGCTAGAGCTAAAACCACTGAATGAAACTATGAGATTGATGCATATATATTTTATTATCATTTTATGTAAGCTTGAGTTCTTGGAATTCTTAGTTAAACTTATGGGTTTGTCTGTGTGTTTGGAGTTAACTATTAGTTTTTAAAAACTACAATACCTATAATTGCAAGTGAGAGGAAATTACCCCAAGTTCCTACAGAACTACCCAGATAGCTTGGGAGACAATGTTTCAGGCTCTCATTCATTTTTAGCCTGTGTTGGGAAGTCATTTGAGGCAGAAGCATGTAATTAAGTTCTGAAGTGCTGAGAAATTTTTGATTGATTACTTCCGCTAAGCAGAGTTCCTAAGAATATGTGTTTAAAGTAATGAAATTATCTTAGCATAAGAAGTTTTGAGACACGGTCAATGGAAAAAATGGGAAGTTCTTGAAATTTTAAAAGAAAAGGAATTGAAGGAATTGAAGGGGTAGTGCAAGAAGGCAGGTCAGGAGCATAATAAGAAAGAAAGTTATCTAAATTTCTAGCAAATATGCTGAAATTTTAATTTCTTCAATCTCCTAGATTAAGACAAGAATCTCTCGACAACAGAAACAGAGAATGCTGGAGAAACTCAAAACATCGGGCAGCATGTGGAGAGAAAGCAGAGTTACCATTCAGGTCCAGTGATCCTTCTTCAGAAACATAAACTCTACTTTCTCTCCACAAATGCCGCCAGACTTACGGAGTTCGTCCAGCAACTTGCTTTTGTTTCAGATTTTCAGTATCCGGAGTTCTTTGGTCTTTGTGTATGTGTGCATTTTTTAAGAGTCTCTCTCGCTTGGAAATTATCTGAATTTGGTCTTGCTAGAGACACAAAGCTAAATGCTCTTAAATTACAACTATGTTTGTAAACAATACCAAGGTATGCTGATTCTGATACAAAGCTGTTGAATCTATAAAAAGTGTTGGTGTTATTTCTACAGTGTTTTAAAAATCTTTGAATCTGTGTTATAAAAGAATATATTGTGATTGTTCCTGTCTGTTTTTCTTTTCATTTCTGTTGTTAATAAGCTTCTGTTTCATTTAATTGCTAAAATGTTGCATGCTTATGGTTTAGTAAGAGATCACTTAGGCAACAGAAATCATGATAAAAAAATTATAATCTGTCCAGGCAGTTTTCAGTTGGGGATTAGGCCATTCAGCTCATCAAGTTTGTTCCGCCATTCAATCATGGCTGGTATGTTTCTCAACCCAATTCTCTTGCCATCTCCCTGTAACCCTTGTCCCCTCACTAATCAAAACCTATCCATTTCTGTCTTAAATACACTTAATGCCTTGGCCTCAACAGGCAATGAGTTCCACAGACTAACCACCCTCTGGCTGAAGAAATTCCTCCTCAGTTTTACTGGGTCATCCCTTCACTCTGAGGCTGTACTATCGGGTCCTAGTCTCTCCTACTAAATGACAACATCTTCCCCACATCCACTCTCAGTAATCTGTAGGTTACAATGAGGTACCTCCTCATTCCAAACTCTATCGAGTAAACACCCAGAGCCCTCAACCGCTCCTCATATGACAAGACCTTCTTCTCTGGGATCATTCTTGCAAACCTTCTCTTGATCACCTCCAATGCCAGCATGTCCTTCCTTAGATATCAGACCCAAAACTGCTCACAGTACTCCAAATACAGTTTCACCTGAGCCTTATTGCAATCAGTAAAGTGCTTTATCATACATAACATACAATGCAGCAATATTCCCCTCATTGCACAGCATCCTTGAAAGTTCCACAAGTGATGGACTGTTTCTGGCCAGCATTCTCCTCTCTTTTTTAAAAAAATTAACACTGCTAACTTCTGCACTACTGAAATGTCAGTGCCGGTTTAATCAGCCCCAATGGTGTGGGGCAGCATTTGAAGCCTAAGCACATTCACTGAATGCATCACAATTATGCAAAGAAATGCTTCGAAATTAAATGTAACTGAAGACTGAAAACCCATACTTCATGTACTTGCTTCTTCATTGCCCTTACATCCTGCAAACAAGGATCACGTGCTTTCACCCATCAAACAGATACTGACTCCGTTCCCCCAGGTGTTGTCCCAGCCATTATTCAGTCACACTGTGCATCTAAAGAACGGTAAGTGACAGCAGGGAACACAGCTAGTGGTGGATACTGTCAGCAGCAGGCACTACCTAGTTGCCAAATTTCTCCTCCTTGTACCATGCAGTACCCCAACGTCATATTTCTACTTGTCTCCCCCATAAGAAGACCCACCAAAGTGAAATGCATCTCCTATTGTCCTCTCTGCCTTACTGATACCCACTCTGATTCTCTATGCGTTGTGGAGGTCACAATAGTGATCCCTGCCAATATACGTGATCCAATCTGTAAACTAGGTGCCTGTGCCTGCACATACAGTGTCCTTGCAGCAGCCTTTCAATGCAAATTGTCGGTGTGCTGTGCAATGCAAGCCTGTGTTTCCTAAGCACCCTACAAGTTGATCTGTAGAGTTGCCATGATGCTCAAGAGAGGTTGCCAAATGCCAGATGCCAATGTCCATGGTTGACGGAAACATATGGCTGATGCCTATGGAACGTGTCCTGAGATGCTGAGCGACATAGTAACTTCAAGCAACCAGCAGCAAGCTGACTTTGCTGGTTATCCACTCAGAATTCTATGTCGAGGTTTTTTGACATTGAGTTTGTTTGAGGCATTTGATGAGAGGAGACTGAATATTAATGAACAGCGACATTACAAAGGTGTCTTACAAGCAATAATTTCCCCTAATTGCCATCAAGCAACTGTGTATTGAGAAACTTGCCTCACCACACGGCAAAAGCATAAAAAAAGGAATGCAATTCTCCCACTGTCAAGGTAGGCCTCATCGGACTTCTTGTCCAATTCTCCCACAAATCTCATCAGAACTCAGGCTGCTATAAGATTCCATGCAGAGGCACTGGAAAAAGCTTCACCAAAATTTCAATGGTTGATAGCAGGTCACTTTCTAAAGGAACATACTTATCAAGAAAGGATTAACAGGCTAACGTTCAAATATATGAATTAGGGTGCAGGAGTAGGAATAAGACTTGAGCCATTTTGACATACTGGGGTCCAACTTTACTCCAAAACTGAGGTGTTCTGAAGAAGGGCCACAGGAGCTAAAGCATTGACTCTGTTCTCTCCACATATACTGCCACACCCTGCTGAGTTTCTCCAACCATTTCTGTTTTTCACATTTCCAGCATCCACAGTCCTATGTTTGTCAATTATTTGTACAGCTGCTTGGCAACAAAACTGGGTATCACATGGGGCTCCAGTATTTTAAGCACAATTTATTATGGCACACACTTGGTTGGATGTGTTGCTGGTACAGGGTGTTCCAACTCCAGCCACCACCACCCTGTCAATCCCTTTTCCCTGTACAATTGATAAAGAGATGTTTTACACGCCCCCATAATGTTCCTCTCGCTTGCGCTTTGCCGTGTCCAGATGAATCTTTGATTCCTGGAGACTCCAGGGTAACTTCCGGAAAACTGACAGCGCTGTCGTTGATATACCTTTCCCCCACGTCGGTTCTTTCCTGTAGGAGTTTTATTTCACGAGCAATCAGCAGTTAACCTCCTGGACTGTCTGAAGCTGCAGGTCACATGGTGAATGGAGCCGCCCGCTTCCCGGTGTTCAGTCAGTGGAGTTGCCTTGTGTTTTGAGGAGCTGATCTGCCTGCAGGGGTAAGTACGGTGTGCCTGCAGATTGCCCTCCTTCTCCCTGGTGGAGGGGTTGTGCTTTTTTTAACTCTGTCTCTCTCTGTGGGGGTTGTTGTTGTAATAATAACCGCCGCTGGAGGGTCGGCTCGCCGGCTGCAGCCTGGGTGCATGACACTGTTTGCATCAACCGCCAGGAGGAGGGGGCGCGCGCCGCTCAGTGAGCGGGGGAAGGGTGTGAGCAGGGGGCGCGCGCCGTGCTGTAGGGGGCGAGAATGGGGGGTGAGGCGTGGGCGCGCGACGCTCTGTTTGGTTTGGGGGGGAGGTGAGGCAGGAGCGCGCGCCGCTCTGTAGTTGGGGAGAAATGGGTGAGGCGGGTTGTAGTGTGAGGTGGGGGCACGCGCCGCTCCAGCGGGGTGGGGGTGGGGGCACGCGCCGCTCCAGCGGGGTGGGGGTGGGGGCGCGCGCCGCTCAGTGTGTGTCTGTGTGTGGGGTTGGCGGGGGCGCGCGCCGCTGTGTGTGTGGGGTTGGCGGGGGCGCGCGCC